CATTCCTTCCGGTTGTTGATTTCTTAATAAGGCTGCAGCCATGTCCTTAATAGCTTGTACAACCTCTATCAGTTCGGTATTTCTTCTTCTTACCATCTGAAATTTTATAGATTAGTTTATCATACTAGAAACATGGTTAGCACATTTTCCCAAGTTACACATGGAACGTTGCTCTGATACCACTAAAATGTAACGCCCGATTTATAAAACCCAGTATTATATGTATATATATTTTTATATATCAAGAATAAAAATATATTATTAATAATATTATACGTGATAATAATGAAAGATTTTTACAGATAATATTTACTAAAACATGCATAATTATAATTTTTTTTTATCTCACATACGATTCTAATATTTACATTACTCATTATTCTTAAAATATTTACAATAAATATATTTACGTACAAAGAATATGTTAAGAGTAGTAATGATATAAATAAAAATGACAATCATTATAAAATAATTAAACAATATAAACTATGCGCACCTTAATAATTAATATAGATAAAAATAATCATAGGTTAAGCAAATAAATGAGGTTAGGGACACCTCACTAGATAAATACACATAGAAAATAACATAAATAAATAAACATAGTACTAGATAAAATTTTAAAGAGACAAAGTTCTCCTCCCTCTTATCTTAAAGTAAGTAAATTTGTTACGTTTTCACTATTTCTCTCTTTACGTTCCGTTTGCACTCTTTCTCTCCGTTCAATTTGTGTTATTTTTCTGTGTGTGTAAATGTGAAGGTGAATGTGCTATTTATAGGCAGATGACACCTGATGATACTACACATTACGTAATATGTGTACGTAATCTACACTTAAATTTTTTTACCGCACCATACACGTTGATTTCTTTCACTCCATACACGTAATCCATTGGCTCTTTATCTACCGGCATTCCCTTATCACTATGAGTAATTATCTCACATTATCCTATTCCTACTACGTAACTTTGTACTTTGAAATCACGTAATCAAAAGCCTGCATTTTGCATCACATCGTCTTATCCAATTAGTATATATGGTATACGTGTAATTGAGTTGCAGTATAAGGAGCTTTAAAAAAAAATTATTTAATTACTTATTAAAATATATATGTAATTATATACATTATGATAAATAGTTTGTTATGTAATTATAATATTATAAATATCTATAATATCATTGGATATTATATATATATATATGTATGTATTTAAATATAATTACTTACATTAAAATTTATATATATATATATATATATATATAATGATTAAAATATTATT